TGGACCACATTTTGTCAGAACTCTCTGTCATGACCTGTCCGTCTTGGGTGGCCCTGCACTGAGGCTTCACTGGGTTACGCAAGCCCCTTCGCCACGACAAGGCAGTGATCCATGAAGGGGAATGGTGATCATAATGAGATGTAAATGCTGCTGAACTGATAGGAAACATAAAGTTACATTTGCATGCAGGCAAAGTAGGAAGTTACCAGCAGAGTAGAAATTTGAATATAAAAGGGTCATAAAAGGATCAAAGAAACAAAAAGATGTGAAAAGGATTTGCACTACCAAGAACAACATTGTTTGAAATTGTTTCTATGCCAATGCTAGAGGTCTTTGAACCAAAATGGGGGAGGAGGCAGTTTAAATAAGAATGCAGGTATAGTAGGTATTAATAAAATCCTGATAGAACTGGTAGGATTAGTGGAATATAATCATTCCTGGATACAAACTTTATAGAAAGGACATACTAGGGAAGGCACTGCTCTTTAGATCAAAGAGAATAAGGGAGGTTGTAATTTCATACAGTGACTATGTTCATACAACATGCTAAGTTGTGGTCACAACCTGATGCCCCAAGACCACATATAACTTCAAAAAGCCTTGTGTGGAGTGCCACTAAAAACTGGTGCCAAATTTATCTCCTAAAGGAAGGGCATGATATAATAAAAAATACATCTAATTATTTTAATTATGCCTATAATAAATCAGAATAAATAAAAGTAGAGTTTGGACCAGGCCCTGCCTCCCCCCCACTTTTTTTAAATTTAGCATGGCCTCTAATACATAATTCAAATGTCTGAAAAATGTTTTGCCTCTCTCTTAAATATACTGGAGTTTGGCTGAGTGTATCAACTGAAAATATAATAAATGTATCAGAAGTATTTTGTGTCTGATCTCCATACCTGTTGACATAGTAGGCCTCATAGTAAGTATCAACACAGAAAAACATCTTGTATCTTAATAATTAAGATTAATAATCTTAATGCAGGATTATCTATTAAGCAAGCCAGGGCTGTATATTTCTGCAACTTGGGCTCCCAATGGCTCTGACTAGATTTTATGATTATGTATTTTGTTTATTGCTGTATGATGCTCATAGTCCTTCAAGATTTGGCTGGGTTCTAAGGATTAAATAAATATGCACAAGCTGGGTTGGAGTTGCATCTCAGTAGGGTATTAGGTTACCTACCCAATCAAAATGTAAGTTTTAATTCACAATATTAAAAAAAAAATCAAATAACCTGCAATAGGTAAGGGCAGCAATTGAATTATCCAGAAATTAAACCAGATCTGGACTATTACGATGCTCCATGCAAGCAGAACAAAGTAGATGTCACTGGCTTTCTTCTTTTTAGGAAGTCTTTCAATCTCAAGTCTCTGCCTGCTGTTCGCATTGGATGAAGCTGATGAGGGATCATTACTTTCTGTAATTCCTAGAACAAAATCATAATTACAAGAAGAAATATTTATTGTTGGATTAACAGGCTTACCTTGAAGAGGTTCAGGAGAGAATCACTGATCATAAAGCACTTCTATTGTCATTGTACAGCGCCAACTTGGTGTAGTGGTTAAGGCAACAGGCAGGTAGTCCCACCTTAGGCATGAAGCCAGCCAGGTGACCTTGGGCCAGTCACTCTCTCTCAGCCCTAGAAAGCAGGCAATGGCAAACTACTTCTGAAACCTTGACAAGAAAACTGCCAGGACTTGTCCAGGCAGTTGCCAGAAGTCGAAACTGACTCTAAGACATAAATAAACGAATGTAATTGTAGTTCTCTCAAAAATCTCCCAAACACCTACACTTTTATCATTCTCCCCAGTTCCCTACATACCAACTACTTCCCCTACATACCAACTACTTCCCCTACATATCTGAAGGCCTGATTTATAGACCAAATTTATTTTTAAAGAAGAAAGAATGCCCCTTAACCAATATGTACACTCACTGGATTGCCAATGCAACAAATATGTATTTTAATGCTTATAATACATCTGAATCCTGAAGGATGCAGATTCATTTATTGTCACATTTTATAGCAATGTCATCAGTCCAAGAACAAGGGATAAAGATGGCAGATTTGAAGTACTCCTTTAAAAAAACTAAAAAACAAAGGGTAACATCTTTAATATCTACAAGATTTTGCTTGAAGAATTCCTGGAAAAGATGTGATAAATCTTACAACAACTAGAAGGGAAGTGTTTTGCAGGTGTGTGACAGGAGCAACTGCCTGAACAGATTATAAGTACATGTGCCCCTTCCTCCCCCTCTCTTCTTAGCCCTCCCCCATTATCAGGATGACCCAGTTGCCAATCAAACAGGAGTGTTGGCCAGGACGCAAGAAGGAGAAAAGAGAAGATGGCTATTTGGGACTCTACAGCCACAGGCCTCGTAAAAAATAGGCTGAATAAGCAGTCAAAGTCCAGGAGTCAAACTAAAAAGGCAAACTAAAAGATAGACAGCCCTGATGAGAAGAGGCAACAGGAATGGAGGCAGCAGCTGAGAAAACTGGGGAAAGAGAGGAGTTTTTTTTCTCAGACCTGGTGTAAAAGTTCTAGCCATTTCTCTCGGAGCAAAGATTGGGAAGAGGAAAAGAGTCAAGAAGCCCAGCCAGGAACAAACAAACTGAAAAGATGAAGAAAAAGTAAAGAGTTTGACAGGACAAAAATAGAAAACAGAAACTAAAAAAGATAAAAGAGAGATCATACTCTGTAGAAAAAGGAGTATAGCTCTATAGAGAATGACAGACAGTGATAGTTATACAGGGACTAAGACAACAGAAATATAGAAATACAGAAGACAGCAATAAACAAATATCTTGGAGATACAGAATAGAAAAATATGAAAATAAAGTGAAATTGGATTTTAAAGAATATAGAAAAGAGAGCTTATAATATAATGTAGAAAAAAGAGCGTATAGAAAATAGTTAAAATAGAAAATAGTTTTATTATTAAGATTCATTTCATACGCAACTCTGTTATTGTTTTCTAAAGGAGAACCTAACCTGAAGAAGAGAGAAGAATTAGAATTGGAAGGTTTTGTTTGCCAATGGTTTACATATGCACAGTTGTTGGAAAGATTTAAACTAGATAAGAAAAGCTATGAATTTACCACTGAGAACACTGAGTTTGAACATGTTTTGTGTACTAACGATGAACATCTTATTGCTAAAATGTATAAATTTTTATTAAAGATGAATTTGGAAGATGAATATGTTAAAGACTGTATGGTTAGATGGGCAAAAAACTTTGGATATAACATAATGTTGGACCAGTGAGAAAATACGTTGAATAAAGGGTTAAAGTTCACTCTCAATTATACGTTGAAAGAAAATTTTTATAAAATGATGTACCATTGGTATTTGACACCAGATAAATTGTCAAAGATGTGGATATAACATAATGTTGGACCAGTGAGAAAATACGTTGAATAAAGGGTTAAAGTTCACTCTCAATTATACGTTGAAAGAAAATTTTTATAAAATGATGTACCATTGGTATTTGACACCAGATAAATTGTCAAAGATGTATAAAGGAACCTCAAATGTCTGTTGGAAATATAATCAATGTGAAGGTACATTCTATCACTTATGGTGGACTTGTGAAAACGCTAAGAAATATTGGAATATGGTATGTATTTTGATTCAAAAGATTTTGAAAACAGACTTGCAATTGAAACCAGAGACTTTTCTTTGAGTATGACAGATAAACAAATGGAAAGACAACACAGAAATTTATTTCTTTATAAACTGCAGCAAGACTTTTATTTGCACAAAAATGGAAAGATTTACAAATATCTACTGCTGAAGAATGGATATTGAAATTAATGGAATTGGTGGAGATGGTGAGACCGACTACTTTGGTCAGAGAAGGCACTGTCTAACTTTGTTTCTAATTGGAAACCACTCTTAGACTTTTTGCTTGATACTCAAAAAAATTCAACTTTGATTTTGGGGTTTGCTGATTGATGTTACAGAAATATCTTGTACAAATTATATGTATTATCCAAATAGACTGATTTTAGGAATCTTCTTGAATATTAGATTAAAAACTATTTTGTACTATGTAAACTTTTAGATATTAGAGTAAGAGGTGAATATATTCTGTATCCATACCTTTACCAAGGAAAGTCAGAAGCTACTCTTCCTTTTTTATGCCCTCCTCCCCCCCTTTTTCCCTTCCTTTTTCTTGATTTTCCTGTATTTTAATTTTTTTTGAAAACATAATAAAATTTATAATTAAAAAAAGATTCATTTCTGTACTAGTTGAAGTAATTTATAATTTACGATTCCTCTTTTATTTGTAAGCTTTCCTTTTTTAAAATAAAAGTCTTCCCTCAGCCACTGAAGACAGATACAAAAATCAATTTCCAGTGCTTTGTCTATTGAATCTGGGTCAGTCTGGTTATTGGTGGTTCAAAAAAACAAAAACAAAAGAACCCGCACCAAGCTGCCTCTCTTGTCAGTCTCAGTCTCTTCTGAAGGTCTCTAAAGGGTGGTAATGGCCCAGAACTGAATATGCAACTAAGGACAGGGCTAAGGAAGTAGAACACAAAGGGAAAAGCAGGAGACCAGGATGGGAAATCAAGAGTTTCAAAAGACGCTGCAACAGAGATGCCAGTAAGAGGTATTTAAAACCTCAGATGTTTCTGCACCAGTGCACACTGAATATTAGAATCAGAGAATCATAGAAGCATCTTGGAGATCTTCAACCCTCTGCTCTGAGACCATCCCAAACAAATGGCTCTCCAAACTTTGCTTGAAAGCCTCCAGGAAAGCAGTATCCACAACTTCAGGAGGCAGGCTGTTCCATTACTTAATAGCTCTCATAGTCAGGAAATTACTCCTTTACTTATCTCTCTCTTGCTTCCAGCCATTGGTTCTTGTCCTACCTTTGGGCACTACACAAAATAAATCCACACCCTCTTCCCTGTGACAGCCCTTCAAGTATTAGAAGACTTCCATCAAGTCTCTTGTAGCCTATGTAGGCTAAACATAATCAATTTTTTTAACAGCTCTTCATAAGATTTAGCCTCCAAGCCCCTCACCATCTTTGTTGCTCTTCTCTGCACCCTTTCCAGTTCCTCAGCATCTTTCTTGTGTGGTGGTAACCAAAACTGTATGGCAGGTACAGTCTGACCAGTACAGCTTAGCAGAACTATCATTTCCTTTGATCTCAATATTATACAACTGTAGATGCAGCCTAATATTGCATTGGCTGTTTTGGCAGCTGCAGCACAATGCTGGCTCTTGCTTAATCTGTGGTCTACCAGGACACCAGAACCTTCTCACAACTACTACTGCTAAGCCAGGTACTTAGAACCTGTACATATGATTTTTCCTACCTAAGTGCAGAACCCTACACATCTCACCATTAAGCTGCATTTTGTTGGAAAAGGCTCAGTATTCAAGTCTATCAAGATGCTTTTGTATTCTGAGCTTGTATTCTGCGGTGTTAATATCCCCACACCACCACCCCTCCACAGCTTTGTGTTGTTTCCTGGAAACCAATCAGCAGCCAATGCAGGGTCCACAAAACAGGTGTCGTGTGATCCCAATGTCAGGAATACTTGGGCCACTGTATTTTGAACCAACTGCAGTTTTCAAATACATTTTAAGGGTAACCCAAGTAGAGCAGGGTAGTGATAAGGGGATGAGTTACTGTTGCCAAATCCTAATGAAAGTGATGTAAGGATGTTGTAAATGAGTAAATAGATACAATTAGCAGGCAACTAACAGTTTTTTCTAACACCCTAAATTAGGACAGAAGAACTTAGAACTATAAAGTATTTTGTAATCTACACTATACTTATTTCAGTATTTTTTTAAACTTATGCTATTTTCATTTTTCGTAAGGTTTCACTATCACTGGTGTCAACAAAGAAGTGAATCAAATCCCAGTTGAAGCATATATGCCAAATTCTAACTTCCCCCAAATTAGTTTAGTAATTCTCTTAAATCCACCAACTTTCAGACCAAGAAAAAGAGAATGTAGAGATGTGTTAAAGTGCACAAACCAAATCAGCCAAGCCATACAAGCAGATCAATTAAAATATTTGAATATTCTTACAGAATCATTAGAATTAAAGTCACCTGAAGTTTGTAATGGATGATCTTCATTACTTGATTCATAAGCTGTAACCGAGATTACCATAGCGACTGCAGATGCTGCAATGGAAATTACCTGACCAGGAAGTTGTGCCTCTGAATTAAGTAAATATAGTAAATGAAAAAGAAACATATGATACATTTTAATAGTTGAGTTCTCCAGCCTCTTTCCTTAGTAAAATTATAATCCAAATAATACAGAACATACCTGTGTTTACAATTTAATAGTGGAAGATTTAAAAAAACCTGAAATAGGTTCTAAAGGTCGTATCAAATCCAATTTAGTAAAATGAAGCGCTTTCTCCTTTTTTAAAAGGATGGCAAAAGCAGCAACCTTTCCCCCATCACTTTGATATTAAACATCAAAAGTCTTGCTTGCATGTGCTACCTACTACTCATGTTTACTCATGTTTAAACAAAGCTGTAATTTTCCCATAGTAACTGCCTGGCTGATTCAATCTGACAGGGTTGGCGCACTCTGGGTTTCTTCAATTAAATAATACCATCTATTGAGACCCTAAAAGTTTGTCTTTTCTATAGTAATGCTTGCCCTCTGGAATGGGGTTTCTCTTGAGATCTAGACAGCCCCCCCTTCTGATGTTTCAAAGGGTCTTGAAGACCTGGCTCTTCACCCAGGCTTTTGGTGAGGGTGAGTGAAGCCCCCCTTTGCACTATGTGGGTTTGTTTTGTTCCCAGACAGCTTTTATCACCCCTCCCGTCTTCACTCTTCATTTCTGTCTGCTGTATTTTTTTTCTTGTTTTTAATGTTTTTTATCTGTAACCGGCTAGAGTTGTTGGGAGTTGGGCACTGTATAAATTTAAATAATAATAACTTCACTACAGATAATAATTATACTCCATTCTTTACAAAAGTAATTAATTTTTACCTGGAGGCTCTTTTCCATTTGATTGCTCATGAAGCAAACCTACGGTCATTAAGATAATTATCAGTACAACCAGTGGAATTCTCCAAGACCCTGCTGCAGAAGCTGGAAAAAAGTATGTTTCCTTTAATACCATCCACATTTTTTCAGATAAATATTATCAAAAAGTATGATCATATTGTTGTGCAAGATAGACGCTCATAAAAATCACAGGATGTAACAACAATTTATGATATAACATTTTCCTGTGTTTTAGACTAATTTTGAATATACTATGATATACAAATCTGTCAAAAATTAATCCATAACATAGGAAAATGTTCTCTTTAACTTGCTATTTAGAGCCAGTTTGGTCTAGTGTTAAGGCATCAGGCTAGAAAGCAGGAGACTGTGAGTTCTAGTCCCACC